GGATGTTGAAATCTGCGATGAGACAAGTGTGGAAAACAAGTTAAAATTATATATGTATAAAAAGCATTGTCCTGCCACGATTTTGGGTTGGCTTCGTAAGCGGATGGATGTGGCAAAAATGAAAAATGAAAAGCAGTGTAAATTGGGACGACATGACAAGCCTCCATGGGCAGAAGCCTCACATTGGGCCTTGAGTTCTTCTAACTCCTCCAGGTGCTTCTTTTTCTTCTTGTCTGCAGCCCGATGCTCTTCCCGCGCCCATAAGACTCGCTTGATAGTTGCCCAGCTCCGAGACGGTCTCCCGGACTCGATGTCAACGTCCATCTCCCCACAAGCAAAGGAAGCTAGGACCACCTCTTTCTCAGCCTCAACATCATCTGGTGTTTCCAAATCAACTCAATCTTCTGAATTAAATGCAAATTGCAAAAAGTTCTGGCTTCTATGGCGATAAAGCATTTAAAAGCAGCTATCAATCTCATCACCGTTTCATGATGCACGAACTTCAGAAAGCTTGAGTGACATAATGTCGCTGGACAGTCTAACAACAATTAAATACACTTATAAACAATATAATATCAAATCATATCAAATCTCTTTTAGTCCCGGCTGGTGAAATGATTGACGCCCTATGAAAGTTGCAAACTTCCTGCATATACGCCATATGGATGGACTATGATGAACTCACTATTCCGTAGTATTCCATCCCACAGAATGATTTGGTGTCAAAAGCTGCGCCTTCTAACTTCTGCTGGAGAGGTGCAGCCAAGAAAGGTGCAGCAGGGGTCAGGAGAGGTGCAGGAGGGGTGCATGAGGTCAGGAGAGGCCCAGGAGAGGTCAGGAGAGGTGCCATGCAAGCCCAACACGTAATCACATCTGATAGCTCTATATAAAAGCACAAAAAAGCTTTGCATAGCTTCGCATTTGTTTTGAAATGGTTTGAAGTGTCTTTCGGAAAGCCTTCTAACTTCTGCTGGAGAGGTGCAGGGAAGAGAGGCGCAGCAGGGGTCAGGAGAGGTGCAGGAGGGGTGCTGGAGAGGTCAGGAGAGGTGCAGGAGAGGTGCAGGAGAGGTCAGGAGAGGTGCCATGCAAGCCCAACATGTAATCACATCTGATAGCTCTATATAAAAGCACAAAAAAGCTTTGCATAGCTTCGCATTTGTTTTGAAATGGTTTGAAGTGTCTTCCGGAAAGCCTTCTAACTTCTGCTGGTGAGGTGCAGGGAAGAGAGGCGCAGCAGGGGTCAGGAGAGGTGCAGGAGGGGTGCAGGAGAGGTCAGGAGAGGTGCAGGAGAGGTGCAGGTTTGTATCATACAATATCATACATGTGCATACCATATCATACCATGCAATCCGCAGAAAACGGTCCCCAAGACGGCTCAACAAATTCACAAGTTTTAAACGCGAAAAATTACAAAAATTGCCAAATCGTGCCAAATCTGGTTGCCTGTTCCCACAACCCTCCAAGCCGTGCAGTTGGAAAAGGAAGCGGCCATCGATGAACAATGATGAACATAAATGAACAAACACGAACTCGGATGAAGTTAAACCTGGTGTTAAATGGCCCTCAATAATTTATTATCAACCCCCAAGTTCTGGATGGTAGAACGTGGAGCTACAGGACGCGTGGCACCTTCGCCAAGACTCATGGAGCTGGGCTTGAAATCTCTTGTCGCACTCGACAGCAGTGGATTCGGCATCCGAGAGTCATAAGCCGGATGTCTATGTCTCAAAATTCGGACCCCCCAAGTGGATTGTTTATATTATATGTTTTATATTATATGATGATTTTCAATCATTTGCTCTGTTGAAAATGACTTGTTGGTTCCCCAATATGGGAATGATATGCCGATATGCCCAAATCTGTTTCACAGCACGGATTTCATCATACCTGCGATGCCATACATGCATTTGTGAGCCAAACTGCTCCAGATGTGCAAGCGAAATATATTTCAGAAATTCTTTCACATACCCTCCCCTAAAATTTCAGTGGCCGAGGGGGTCACTATGTTGTAGCTGTAATGTGGTGTACTGCAGTTAGCGTAGTGTAGTGTGATGTAGTTGTAGTGGTAGTTGTAGTTGTCGTGTAGTGGCAGTTGTAGTTGTAGTTGTAGTTGTCTATCTATCTATCTATTTACCTGCAAGCGTGAAAATGAAGCTATTGATTAGGATAGATTCGACCTCAAAATGATTGGCCAATGTCTGGTACAGTGGTACAGCACACTCTTCTGCCTCTGGTGCGGCGTAAAGTAAGGTTCCGGTGATGCTGTGCGCCTGGAAAACAGTGTTTCCTTCCATGCGTTCCTATGCTTTCAACTGCTGACAAAACCTAATGCGTTCCTATGCTTTCAACTGCTGACAAAATAACGCTTCTGAGCGTTGCACCTACTAAATCCCTGTGGCCACACAATAAATCCCGCGTTAACATTTAACAAAGACTCGGGAAATATTGTTTGTTTGCATCTGTTCCTATGTGTTCAATTACGTAGTGAACGTAAGCATTGCATTTACTAAATTTACTAAATCCCCATGGCCACGGCATATTCAATTTGACTGTGGCGGAGGAAAATAGGTTAAGAACCGATGATAGAATCACCTACTCGACTTTGCCGCAAATATAATATCATGCTGCGGACCCCCATCGAAGAGAAAGGAAAGGATCAAACGTTTGTAATGAAAGACATCCTCATTTTCCCACGGCTACATGTTTGCAATACATTGCAATACCAATTGATGCATTGATACCATCTCCTGCCATTCCTTGCGCCCCTAGGTCCTACCTACCTGCCTACATCTGCCTACCAAACTTCCCTACTGAATTCATTCAGTAAATGAACCACCTTCCTCACACACCGGGGCTTGAATCCGGGACCCGAACCCGGGATGGGAACCCGAATCCGGGACCCGAATGCGGGGCCCGAATCCGAAACCCGGATCTGGGGCCCGAATCAGGGGCTCGAATCCGGGGCCCGAATGTGGCGCCCGAATCCGGAACCGAAATCAAAATTATAAAAGAATATCAAAGAATATAAAAATTGAACTTGAAGTTATCTCGAGATTCAGTCTAGTAGTCACTGTTCCTAATACATTTCCAATCCCCTATACAAAGACTACTGAATTATGGTTTCTGCATGGTGTTTCTTTGTAAAAAAAACACTCGTGGATTTACTCTCCATTCGCCATTTTAGTGGGGAAGTTGCTTTCCAAACCGTGGAATAACCATGGGATGTTCTGGTTTTCCCGTGGTTTCCCCAGATTTTCACAAAACTCACAGAGGTTTCCAACCACTGCAATGCACCAGCCGCGGGGCTGCCCTTCTGGTGCTGCTGCGGCCTGACTATGCTCCAGAATCTCAGGCCCCTCCTCCTGCGGCTTAGCCGTGATAAGAATCTACCGCGGAAATGCACACAGCTTGAAACCTGGAAAGCAGCACAAACCATGCGTGTTTTGGATTTCACCTGCCCCAAATGGCCCTGAGAAACTTCAAAAAGGGGCTCCAAGCTGGATGCCCAAAGATTCGCCCAAATTTCTGCGCTTGTCCCTGACACAGTCCAACCAGTGCGGGTGGGAGGCTTGACACCAGGAGGGCGCCGAATGACATATTTGTATTCCAGTCTCTTTGAACTCGAGGATGCCTGCGACTTGGCGGAGAGTGAGCTGCGGCATTCCGCTGGCAAAAGCTGGATTGATGTGTACATGATACGACACAAAAAGGGACAACAGCTTTGAGACGGTCTATGCATACTTTGTCTTTCAATATATTTCCGATTCCTTCAGTATGTTTTTATAACCCCATGACATGAGAAAATCCCAACATATCCCAACCATCAGCCTCCTCTGGAGGGCCCACATCGGAGATGTCAATTCTCTTCCACAGGAGCTAATTCAACGGCTTCGGCACTACTGCCTGACGCGCCAGGGATGAAATGACTTGGGGAAAATGCCCCAATGTTTGGCCACTCAACCCATAGGGAAACTGATGCTCAACCCATCAAAGTTGGGGACGTTCCCTTCAATTTTCAGACAGCCCCAGTTGTTCCAACGAAATTTGCCAAAAGGCTTCCAACTGATGGAGATGTTTGGATAATTTTGGAGTGGAGCTTTCGGCAAGACCCAGGGAATTTGTGCGTTTTTTGATGAAACAACGGACATGGATGAACTGAAGCACCACGACAGCTGGCAGAGCCATAGATGAGTCATTCAATCCCAGAGGCTACCAAGGGGCCAACTAGCCATGAAAAAGTGAGCTCAAGTGGACGCCGGTGAACGCCAAAGGTGATGCAAAATCCGTCATTGGTTAACCCCTTCTGGGATGGATCAAGACCAAAACATATATGGGAGGTTTCCTAAGTCATGGGTACCCCCATAGCTGGATGGTTTATGTCATGGGAAATCCATCTATAAATGGGATGATTTGGGGGCACTGTATTTTAGGAAACCTCCATATGGAAATGGGCTGGGTTTGACAATAGAGATTTAATGACTCACTAAATCCCTAGAATCCCATATCAAATCCCCTTAACAATCCATATAAAGCCTTTATAAATATCATAAATATCATATCAAATCCAGACATTTTGCAGATGTGTCATGCAACTTAAATACCCCCTATGTTGCCACTGCTCTTGGGTCATTGATGCATTTCATTTTGTGTATCAGCAAGATGGTGATAAGGAGTTTATCCATTTTTCCATCCTTTCATCCACTTCATCCAATGGCATCCAATCCTGCGCATGTGCAGGGGATGATCTCGCCTCAGGAAGGCCGTGGCGGTGCGAGGTGGAGCTGCAACAGGGCAGGGGGAGGCTTCAGCTACAGCACTGACGCGGCCGGCTCATGATCCAAAATGGCTTTGGGCAGCCCGCTAAATCTGATTGAAATCTCTGATCAATGGAAAAAAATGAAACACAATAAATGAAATTTCAAGGGATACCCCCCCTCTGAAATTTCATTTATAAAAGGGTGGTGATGTTTTTTCATTTCTGCAGAAATTCGACGTCGAATTTATGTCCTGAAAAACTCACCAGCGCCTGGACCCAGGATATCACCAGAGGAGAGGTGTCCAAAGGGCGCCAGCTCCAGGCCCGGCGGAGTCTTCACGCGCACGTGACCGGAGCTCACCTGGGGAATGAATGGATGGATGGATGGATGGATGGATGGATGGATGGGGAATAATGGGTTTGTTGGCTATGATTAATGGGACATCATGGGATATTAGATGATATTAGCTATGATTGAATAGTGGTTTAATGGGATTTAACGATAAAAAACTATTGATTGAATGGGATATGAATGGGGAATTCTGATGGTTTATAACGAAGCAACTATGACAAATGTCTTCCTCCTCCCCTCAAGAGACCATGGTGGATGGGGATGAAACCACATTGTGGGACCCTTTCATAAGCGGATGGGATTGTCATTCACCAGGTTCTAAGTACATTTAACATCATTTAACGTCTAAGTACATTTAACATCATTTTCATTAGGTTACTAGGTTCATTTAACCAGGTTCTATGGGATAACTCGTTGTTTTGGTATCACTAGGGTTCCAGCCACCAGTTTCCATTGGGACGATCCTGGGGCCGCCAACGATGGCATAGGTGATGTTGGAGGCGGGATTCAGGAGCTGCTTGGGCAGGAAGATCTGCACATTGTCCGGTTCGATGTTGTCCTGGAGTCACAACATGGGTGGGGGGTGCAACGTTGAGGTTTATGGCTATAACAATGGGATTCTAGCCCCAATATGCCCCAATGTTTGTTGGGATATGGGCCCAGTTATCTATCCACTTAGTTCACTAGAACTGCACCCCCCAGCTACCAGTTGGCTCAGCATCATTCCACGGATCGGATCTGGCTCCGAACTGGGTCCGGACTTCCCCAGGGGTCTTGACCAGAAACTTACCCTCTGGTTATGTCAAAATAGCTATTGAAAATGGCCATTTATAGTGAGTTTTCCCATTGAAAATGGTGATTTTCCATAGTTATATATTATATGTTAGTTTACCAGAGGGTAATGGAATGATCCTTCACCTTTCCCACCCTTCTCCGCCACAGTCCCCTGGGAAGAAGATCCGTCGCTCCACATGACGAGCAAAGAAGTCCAGCAACTCGTTGCTCATGTCGACATGTTGACAAATGGGCAGATCCTGCAGCACATCTCGGGTGCTGGGTGCCTTCCACCAATGGCTACAGGTCAGCCCAGCGCCTGGAAGTTAGGCTTGGGAAGCATCTCTGGTTGAAAACCTCGCCCACAAATCGAGATGGGTTGAAATCACCTTGGAAAAGGGAGGCTACAAAAGAAATAAGACACAATTGGAAGTCATCAACCATTTCTGATATATATATATACACTTATATACATACTATATATCATATGATACAGCAGAATATTACATTATTTCTTGGTATTTTCATAACTATAATCATACATTTAGGTAATTCAAAACAACATTATCATTATCATTATTATTAGTATCGTTATTGTTGTTGTTTGTCTTTATTTATTCTATATCTCATGTGTATGTGTATATATATATGTATGAAAATATAACAACAATGATGATAGGTGTAGATTATATGGATGTCCATCTATTATCTAATGTCTAATTTCATCTAATTTCCATATCTTATGTATTTCTACAGATCTTTCAGCCTGGGCGCGGCTCAAGGCAGCCAGATCCTTGGGGAAGTCCTGGAGCAGCTGCTCAAAGACCGCGCGATGCAGCAGCAGCACCACCGACCTCCCCGGGACTGGACACGGCCGGCCCGAGGCTGCAAAAGTGATAACGAACCTATGGAATTTAGATATGTTGAAATAATGGGATATAGTTGAATAATGTGGTTGAATGTTCTGTGATTATGTGGAATTATATATATATATATGTGTAATGATTGTATCACTAGATACATAACGGGCTTTAAGTAGATAATAATGCGATGTATAACTATACAACTAGACATTGGGATAAATTGAGATTACTATATAACTAGATATAATATATGATTACATATGGTACGTGATGGGGTCCGAAAGAACATATTTTAAGAAGTTACTAATTGACTACTACATGGGCCCATAGGGGTGTCAACAACAATGACCGCAACCAATTCGTTCAAGCTTCTGCAGCTTCAAGACTAGGTGAGGCCCAGATAGTTAAGTTGAATTACAACTTGGTTATGTTGTTTAACTAGGTGTTTTACAGGAATATAATGATATAACATGATATAACTATAATATAACTATAGTATTCATGGAGTTTATAAACCAACTTCGAAATGGAGGGGCCTCACCTTGTAGGACCTCTCTTCCCAAAAGGGAAATCCCCGTGGAAAACGATCACCGACAACTGGGTCCCGGGCAGCTTGCAAACAGACACCGTTACGCTGGAAGGACCCAGGCCCAGCAGGCATTCCTGAAGTGGACTTGATGCTGGGATGATCCCTGAAAACCACAGCTATAGGCTATAGGTGTTTCTACTTTGTACCTACCAAAAGTGGCTTTTACCAATCCAACAACTGCGACTTCCAAGTAAAAGCTGGAAAAGGATGGCTAGTTGGGAGTACATCCCCATTGGTAAGTGTGTCAAAAACCACATGTGTACCTAACTGGGATGCATGTCTGTTGCACTATTGACAAAGTCTTGGATCCGTGCTGGGCAACTGAGAGGCAAGAAGACGGGATCTGATATATGAAGTAGTATATATATATATTATGATAATAATCCAGCTATTTGTCATGGCTAAATGTTCTACACCCATATTCAAATTCCCCCAAGTAGAAACTACCCAAGTTCGCAGATGTAATTCCCATTGTCGGAACAACATATTTAATCTCGAAGAATGTCATCCATGATGGTTTTCCCCATTGGCACACCGAGTACATCCAAGTACTCAGGTAACAGTTTTCTTTTCTGCAGCCGATCACTTTGCCGATCCATGTATGTGCACATTGTTTTCATGAAGTTCCTGGGGGTAACTTGCCCCAAAATCTATGAACTTACCCCACCGCATGGCACACCGCTTACCCCACGACCCCAAGAACTTACGCCATGTGCAAATCACCATGGCACACCGGCCCTCACGGACAGGTTTTTGGATTGGCTTGTTATTTTCCCAAGGGATTTGGTACATTTTACATCAGTTCGTGAATTCTTTGACCTCACCCCAAATGTCAAGGAACGCATGGCACACCTACAAATTGTTTTCTATCAACCCAAGTTCGCAGATGTAATTCCCATTGTCGGAACAACATATTTAATCTCGAAGAATGTCATCCATGATGGTTTTCCCCATTGGCACACCGAGTACATCCAAGTACTCAGGTAACAGTTTTCTTTTCTGCAGCCGATCACTTTGCCGATCCATGTATGTGCACATTGTTTTCATGAAGTTCCTATGCGGACTGCAACGCTTTGTACCGTTTATCTGTCTTAAACCTGACACAAAGCGTTGTAAACCGCATGGCACACCATCAACTTGACCTCTAGAAGACCAGGAGTTCTACATGTCATTCTCATTGCGTTATTTTACGAGATCCTTACGAGGTCTTTACGAGATCTGTACGAGATCTGGATTTTGCAAGGCAAGGCAGCAGGGCAAGGCAGCAGGGCAAGGCAGCAGGGATCTTTTCTACTCTTCCCTTCTCTGCTCTAGGCCTCTCTAATCACTTCCACTCTTCAATTCGATTCTCTTCTCTACTCTTCTGTATATAGTCTCTTCTACTCTACTCTTCTCTTCTACTGTTCTCTCTTCTGTGCGAGTCAAGCTATTGAGAAGCCATCCCCATGAGTTTCTATCTCAAGAAGAATATGTCTCAAAAACATGTGTGCCCCTGTAAAGTGTTAGAAAAATCAATGCCACAAACAATTGATTCATCCAGCAAGAATGACATGTATATCATGGACTTCCCAACGGCACACCGTTTGCGGCACAAGAAGATGACCGCGGCATAAGTTACCACTTTGACCCAGTAATAATCCAGCTATTTGTCATGGCTAAATGTTCTACACCCATATTCAAATTCCCCCAAGTAGAAACTGGGATCCAGCTGTGGGGCCCCAAGTCATGGCTGGCTGTCGCCTCTCCAAAGGGGGCCGCCTCCGGCAGAGCATTGACGTCATAGCCAGGCGTCAGGCCGCCTGGGCCAGGATATGCCAGGATGCCATACACAACTCTGAAAAAGCTACTGGATTATAGTGGATTATAGTGGATTATAGTGGATTATAGTGGATTATAAATGGGGTCAAGTCATTTTTACGTGTTCCTCCAAAGAGTATTAAAGGATAGTCTTGAGTTTTAACGGTGTTTCAATCGAATAAATGATGATGAAGCATGGGATGTTCACATTTATCATCTATCATGGGTGTCAATTTTTATGGCTAAGATTGGTCAAGGATCATTCACCAACATCAATCTCTATGGGCTTAGTAAACTTTTGGGTTGGGGAGTGTCCCCCAATCTTGGGTCAAGTTCGTGGCATCGTAAGTTCACCCTCTCATTGCATATGTATATGAACCATATCTTTGTGGACTTTCCATAAGCCATCCATACATACTATATATATAATTATATATTATACACATACACGTCAGTCATTATGATTCCATAGTATAGAATTATATATCTCCAGAGCTACATAGAATCGCAGGGACAATTACTTCATAAATCATCTATAGAGACCACACTGTACACTGTCCAGCAAAAACAGCTGGACACAGTAACCCCAATGATATACACCGTTGGTTGGGGGGAATGGTTTGGAAAATATCACCCAGAAACGGTTCTGCTATTGGCTTTACCACCCTAAAACCAACATATGCCTAACCCTTCAACTCTGATTTGCTGAGAAGTGGCCCCAAAAAACAAATGTATAATACATATATAAGTATAATAAAATGTGTGTATTTATAATCAAAACCATTCCCTTCTATTCCCAGAATTGATTCCCCAGACTAGCTCCTTGGCTCCCCATCTAATGGGGACTATCTTTACCACCATGGCGTCTAACTGTCCTCTACTGGACATATCAGGCATCATTTCAGAAATATGTGGTAATACTATTGTTATTATATGGTTATGATGCCCACTTGAGCAATGTTCAAAACCCTCTATCATTCCATTATATAAATACTGCCTGGTTAAGAACGGGATTCCCAGTTCATGGATTCTGATAATCCCCAATATAGTGGGTAGTACAACCCCGTAATATCATGAAGGTGGTAAATCCAATAATTTTCATCATCCCCCAATATTCACATATGAAAAAACTGTAAATATAGGTCGTAAAAAGCCATCCCAAATGTTTTTTTGGGGGGGCTTTACCACATGAAGCAACAGATCCAACAGGTTTTTTTCCCAGGACCCCAGGACTGCCATGCCGACCTTGCCTGCCACGGCCTCCGCGATCATTGCCTCGGTCCTCGCCTTGTTGGTTAGGCTGATGAGCGACTCAACCGCCACGTCCTCGCCTCAGGGCGTGCACCAAACCTGGAGTTTAACCATCAATTTTCATTGGTGGAAGATGCTGGAAGCAGCAAAATATCAAGATGCTGAAAAGGTATAGAAAACTATTCCCTCATGTCTTTTGGTGCTGTGGGTTTGCTCCAAATATGACCATGAGTTTCCCGTTTGAAACCCATGGTGATGATTGGGGATTCCCCCCGCCTGATCGTCGACTTTCCACCACCATGGACTTTTTTCGTGAGGCACGACGATGGGACTGGCCACGTCGCCCTTCCTGGTGCCATGCTGGGAGCTCGGGGAATCAGTGTTTTTCCCTCCAGTATCTTGGATGTTCCTGTAAATTCCCGCTCAAAAAACGATGATTAAATCTGATTTATGGCTATTGAAATGGGGGGAAGATATGGAAATATAGAGAAAATCATGAGCAACTAGTGGATGATGAGGGCCTCCAGGGTTCCCCCGGACAAGGCGAAAAGATTCATCTTCAGTTTCTCATAGTTTCTGATTGTGTCTATTTAAATTGTTCCTCCAAGATATCTCCGATTTGTAAACCCCATTGAATGGTCAACTATATATTATTATATAATATTATATATATATTATATATATATTATATATATATTATATATATATTATATATATTATATATATATATCATGATATATGCACCATAAACAATAGAAATCACCTAGTGAATTTAACCAACTTAGCAATTGGGTCAACTGGGGCACCACCATCAACTCACGAGATCCTCGCTCTCAGCCATGGAAGCTCGACTATCAGCCTGGCCATGACTTGCGTGTCATGCTGTGTCTATGACAACCTTTAAAACCCCGCGACATGTGGTAAATTATGGTAAATTATATGGGTATTGAATGGTATTGTTATGGTAATAGTTGAAGGATGTTGAAGGGACAAAGACTTGCCTTGATTTCAAGAATATGGATATAGCATCCCTGCAGCTAGCCGGTGGTCTGAAATTGAAATGAGTTACGTGGGTCAAAACACAAGTTTTCCGGAACGACGCTAGACCTAGCCTAGGGTTCCGGTCAGGTAGGTCTAGAATGAAGCTACCGGTTGTATCCGGTAGTCATCCCTGGCAACCACTATATAAGCACGGAGGGACACTCTTCGTAACTTTTGAGTATGTAAATCAAAGTTTGAAAAGTCTACAGTGAAGCTATCTGTGCAATGATTCCAGTTTCTCCCTCGCAGCACTGCAGCACCATTTTAGAGAGGTCTATGATGACAAGTAATTTGGGGTCTACAATGGTCTACACCATTTGTACATTACGTCACCAGTTTAGCGCATGACCAGTTTAGACCTTGGTAGCCTCAATTACCCATCAGCTCCACTTAGTCCATGCGTATACTGGCCAAAATTAAATAGGGCTACAGTTACAGCCCAACTTATGAGGGTTTTTGTATAGAGTATAGATATAATGATACATTCATACACATATATCACATATCTATATGTCTATATAAGTTCAAGCAGTACCGAACTTCAAAAAGTACGTCAAAGTTCGGCCTCAACTTTGGCCTCAACTTCGGCCTCCACGTGACCAACGTTCGCCACCGCGCCCAAACCGCGCCTCCGGGTTCATCGTGAAGCGAAACTCCACAAAGGGCACCTCCTCTCGCCGCACCGCACGCTGGGCGGCCTGACAGGCTGCCAGGCCTTGGAGGCCTTGGGGTACAGATTTCACCAAAATTCACCAAATGATGAAAAATGGATGTGAAATGGATGGGAAATGGATGGGAAATGGATGTGAAATGGATGGGAAATGGATGGGAAATGGATGGGAAATGGATGGGAAATGGATGGGAAATGGATGGGAAATGGATGGGAAATGGATGGGAAATGGATGGGAAATGGATGGGAAATGGATGGGAAATGGATGGGAAATGGATGGGAAATGGATGTGAAATGGATGGGAAATGGATGGATGGGAAATGGATGGGAAATGGATGGGAAATGGATGGGAAATGGATGGGAAATGGCTGGGAAATGGCTGGGAAATGGCTGGGAAATGGCTGGGAAATGGCTGGGAAATGGCTGGGAAATGGCTGGGGAATGGCTGGGAAATTGCTGGGAAATGGCTGGGAAATGGCTGGGAAATGGCTGGGAAATGGATGGGAAATGGATGGGAAATGGATGGGAAATGGATGGGAAATGGATGGGAAATGGCTGGGAAATGGCTGGGAAATGGATGGGAAATGGATGGGAAATGGATGGGAAATGGATGGGAAATGGATGGGAAATGGCTGGGAAATGGATGGGAAATGGCTGGGAAATGGCTGGGAAATGGATGGGAAATGGCTGGGAAATGGATGGGAAATGGATGGGAAATGGATGGGAAATGGGTGGGAAATGGATGGGAAATGGATGGGAAATGGATGGAAATCAGGTATATTTCACCAAGCCCGGGCGGAAGCCTCCACCACCACCTCCCCATCACTCAGAAAGGCCGCAAAGGAGCTGTCCTGACCTGTCATGCGGTGCCAAGCTAGACCCTCATTCAAGATAGCTATGGTTATAAGTTTAAACCCATGAAAATCCTTGAAATTCCCGTATTTATAGATGATAAACATGATCATTTAGCTGGAAAATTGCTGATTTTTCCAGTTTGCAAACAGTTGCAAACCGTTAACTAGAGGCTATATCATGTTCATGTGTCTTCAACCACCAAGGGCGAATCTGGGCCCGATCATGTGGGGATCACCTTTTCAAGAACCCCAAACCGGTGATTTAAGTTTGGCAATGACCGCAATGCCATGATAACTCCCTGAAAAGTGCATCGGGGAATATCGGGGATCATTCTCCAGTCTGTTGGGACGGAAAACGACAAAGAGTGAAACGATCCATCTGCTTTCAACCATACCATACCATAACCAAATAGCAGATGCTCCCCCCAGCAGCCAGGCGCCTTCGGTGAGAATACATTGCTCTGAAAAGTACAACTGATGCACTAAACCTGGAACAGAATCGAGGATTTTAAACTTCCGAGAGAACAATCAATCTCCATACAAGTCCCAAGAGTGTCCAGATTTATATAAGATTCCTGGAATCTTAAAGAGAACAATCCCAGCATCAAAAGCGAAGAGGCTTATGCAATGGGAACGTCCTGCTGTCGCTGTCTGTGAAGGTTTCCCTACAGGAAGATATGATATTATTTGTGCTTGGTCCCAAAGTCGCCAAAGACAGGGTAGTGCTAAGACTAAGACGCAATGTCTCTACACTCTACTGTTACTACCCTCCGCTAATCATACATAGCGTGACAATTCCCCATTTAACATCATTTATAGATGATTGTCCCACTTCGATGGGGCATTTTCACGGCCCGCCTTTCTCAATGGCTTGAAGAAATTCCTGGCGACGCTGGCGATATATGGTGATATTCCTGGACCAGTCATGGGGGCTTCCCTAAGCGCCCTAAGTCATTTTGGGATCCCAGTCATCATCCAAGATATCCAAGTCATCAGACCATTGAAACATTATGAGGGTCTCCATCCCAAATTGGAATCAGTTGGGGAAAACACAAAAAAAAAGAACCCCCAAATAATGATTACTGATGATTCGTCTGGCAAAGTGACCTGTAACTGGAAATCTCGTACTTGATGTAGGAAACCTCCTATGAAAATGGTATGCTATATAGTAAGTTCACGTCCAGGAAAATTGAGGATAGATTTTGCCAAGCCCAAACAGAATCATTCAGAAGAGGAACCTGCAGAGATATCCATCACCGCTTCTGGAAAAATTTGGGCCCTTCGGACCATGGGCTTTCAATGAAATGCCACCCGTGGATTAAAAAAAAAACTGACCATAATATCTATAAACATTACTCTTAAAAATGTGACCCTATCAACATGTTTGTTCTTTTGCAAAAAACAGCTTAACATTACTCCAACGTATCGCAATTTCAAAAGCATTACTGTAGATCTTGGATCATCCAGCTTCAAAGCTGGCCGAGAACTAGGAGCTACTCATAATATTGTATAATGTATGTTAATTATATATATATACTACATCTACATATGTGTGTATACATATATACATATGTCTAAATATGTATATCTCATATTATATATATATCTTGACTTCATTGGGATCATCGCAATTCACAGCGCCATCAAAAAGCGCCGGCACCTCGCTCACCTGCCGAAGGCACGGCATGCGGCGCAGCGACTGTCGCAGGTGGTCCTCATTCTCCTCCAATTCCTGCGATCTCGGGGGAAAAGGTGTGGAGATCATGGGTGAATGGGTTAATCAATGGTTAATCAATGGTTAATCAATGGTTAATCAATGGTTAATCAATGGTTAATCAATGGTTAATCAATGGTTAATCAATGGTTAAATACCACTAATAACTAATATTAACTAATAATCATTAATGGTGGGTTAATCATGGTTGGTATCAATGGATTGGTCTAAGGGGAAATTGAAACCAGAAAGCCCCATGATCTTCATGGGAAAATCGATGGTTTTCGGTTAAGATGTTCCCTTAAACCAATCCAGTGATAGTACTTGGCGACCTAATGGTTAGTACCAATGGTATTATTGATCAGTGATTATCAATGGATATGAAATGCTGCTTAATGCTTATTCCTAACGGTTACGAGTACTGAATAACGGCTTTTCATGGGATTCTGATTTGATATGTTTGATATGTTTGTTGGGATATTAATGGGGCCCCAAAAAAAACTATGGTGAAATCAATGTGAAATCTCTCCACTTCGTGAAGCTGCACCCCCAATGATCAACCGACAGGGGATTGACTTCAGCGGAAGCTGAAACAACTTTGGGGGTGAAAAACATCTCCCACCTTTTGGCCAAATTTGGGAGGCCCCAGGGCCCCAAATTTACCATCCCCAATTCCAACGGATTCCATGAACAACTATCCCCATGAAAAAAAAGGGCTGTTTGAGGGTAGACATTCCATTTTCAAACACACCTATTTACGAAGAAAAACACCCAAGTCCTCCTTTCGAATGGCAAAGTACTCCTTGGGGTCAGAACGACATGGAACGTTTGTGCGTTAAAAAGATCATGGATGAAAGGAAAGTACCCTGGACATTGTCTTTTTGGGAAGGTACCCCTATTGAAATCCCCATACAGGCCTGATATAGCATGTTCTCCTAAATCCATCTAAATCCCAGTGGAATCTTTAGGTGTTGGGTGTTGGGAGTGAGGGGGTGTTGGAAGCTTGGTGACCTTGCTGTTTCAAGTGAGGGGGTAACCTTGCAGAAGTCCCAAAAATCTAGGGTTATCACATGTTCTACCTGGATGATAACCCCAGTTACCCATATTCACCCATTATTCCAAGCTCGACTCTTGCACCGCAACCAAGGTGCAAGTAGCGCCTCAAAGTATTCCGCCCTGGCGATCCCCATACGGCTTTGTCGGCTACCCCAAAATTTCATGGTAAATCATAAGTTAATCACTGGTTGGTGGTTGACCGACCTACTCCTCTGAAAAATATGACTTCGTCAGTTGGGATGATGATTATTCCCAATATATGGACAGTCATAAAAGTCATGTTCCAAACCACCAACCAGTGAAATACCTTTGAACATGGCCATGTTGTTAGGCTCCATCTACAACAGGACGCCAAGTTGTGCAAGGTTGTTTCCGGCTACATGTCCTCTATATTATGGAAAATATGTAAAAGACTAGGTCCAAGTTGGTATATTCAGTGTATAATATATATATATATACACAATATATAGATAGATACTGTCTGACTATGTGTATATATACATCTATATATATAATAACAATATATTGAGCCGCCGTCAAAATCAATTGTTGATGCTTCGTACGAAAATATAGTCGCTTTTTTGGGGGGCCTATCGTTTTATAGTGTTTTATTCAAAGCAACACTAAATAATGCAAACATGCAGCGGAATTGGTTTCATGGATTCAGATCTCTAAACTTCCGGGGATGGATTAAGGGGGCGCTCGTCTCTCGTTGTCTTTGCGTTGCCTTTGCCTTTACATGGTTTGGTGCACTTTCTGGACACAACTGGACCCTGCCTTACTAAAGTAATCTACGTTTATTTTGACCGTATCTCTTATAATTCGTAGGTTGAGTCCCAAATGATCTCATACCAACCACATCAGATTCAATGACTCCGTTAAAATCATTTAAAATTATGCGATGTCAATCCAAATTAAGCATAATTAGGCCACCAACCGCCAAAGGAAGTGATGCCAGCATCGCTCTTCCGGGTGTTCTTGCAACACCTGGCCGGCCGTGGTGGATGAAAAAGTTGTAACTGGATATATAACCATATTATAATATGTCATTAACGTTGCAGAAGTTATCTACATATTTTGATATGTACATATATATATTGCGAATCGGAGGTTGTCTCCCCGATTATGTTCTGGTACTTGATTCTGAAATGGGTGTTTCAGTGGTGACGTCACACGGGTAGCGGCTTCGGCATTGCGATTCTTTGTTCCGGTTCCTGCAGTGGTCTTGAGCCAAAGGGTCGATTTGATGTACCCCTTGGCTGTGGATCTTTGAGGGCTGAATTATGTGGTAGTGTACAATGGTCCGTAGCCTACTCTCTATTCGCACCCCCCACGCATGGCCAACTTTGTCGGCCACGCGCAAAGGAGTGTCCCTTGAATTGATCCACTATATCTGCAGCTGTTCATTTATTGAATTATGGAGAGCTAAAGTCCGTTCAGAACTTCCAATCTACATGGCAGCTTGCTACAATCTCTACCAAAAAAAATGAAGGTTCTGTTCACGTGCATGTAGACACGACGTAGTCGGTGTCTAGCATTGAGGTTCGTCCAATGTGGCGTAGCCAGCATGGAGTCTCACTCAAGCATGTGAATTAAAGAAATCAAAACACAAAGTTGACTATGGAACTAGAAGTTTACCTTCCCGTCCCTTCGTCGGTTGAGACGTAGACCGCTGTAGAAACTCAGCGTTTCATGCAATGATGTTCAAAAAATGTGTGGTTCTAAATTAGCCGGCTCAGAGTCCTCTCAGAAATCATTCAAAATGAAGTAGAGGTAAATCTCGAGCAATGATTGCATCCTCGCATCGCCAGGTTCAATCGGGACCTATGCAGAGGTCAGATCGCTTAATCATCTATTTCCCCATCCATAGTATCCCTGATGGTTCCAGTCTCCGCCACGGTGTGAATAAGATTTTCCACCTTTTCCTTGGTCTTTTCCACCCTTCTTTGGCGGGGTCACTGGAGCTTGTTTTGGCGGAGGAGCGGTTTCAACTGTTCTCCATGTCGCTGACGATGATGCTTTCGCTTTCGACACTCTTCCCAGTGCTGGTGCAGTTTTTGGGGCTGCTTTCGATTTGCCAGCGGCTGGATTGGTACGTTCACGATCAGCAGGAGTCGGGGTATCAGCAATCGCAAGTATGTGAGCTTCGGACAAGTGGATGCCCCACCTTGGTCGTTGATCTTCCCGTTGCTTGATGTGATTATAGTCATCGATCGCATCATATAGCTTTTGGAGTAGAGGTCGCGGCAATTGTCGGCCATTCTGAAGGATCAGGTGTAAAAGTGATATTCTTCGAAGTGGTGGACGAAGAGCACACACAATGTCAACTGGATTCAGTGTGATTGTGTCTTGAAAGTCAACGTTCCTGAAGAAATAAACAGCATTTACCCTATATGCACCTGCAATGATTCTTCTGACCATGACGTCTTGTCGGTCAAGGGCGTCGCGGGCCGCTGTGGTCTTTCTCATCTCATCCATTGTGGTGTCACGTTTCGACAGCTTCTCCATCTCCTCATCAAAGAATATGTTTTGCAAGTCATCATACGTGTAGCCACATTCAAGGGTATATATGAGAAGTCTTTTGAGTACCACTGCCCCATAGTATGCATTGACGAATCCCTCTTCTCCGATGTCGTCCTTTTGATTTGGTCGGCCGATCTCTTTGTAGAGCTCTTTCATCTGTTGTGCAGTTGGTTCAATGAGTTCACCATTTTCATCCTCGCCCAGGTAAGGTGTTCTTGAGTCCAGGTCCATCCTGAATTTCTGGTTCTGTTGAAAATGTTTCCATGCCGTCTCGATGTCTCCACAGAAGTTCCGTTGGAATAGTCTGTAGATCCTGACGATATGTAATCCAATCTGCAACAGGAGGATCTTGATGAATTCTGGCTGAGCATCTCCAATTGTGCAAGGTTCGATCGGCAGGACCTTTGATCCAAACTCAATCCGCTGCATCCACTTGGGGTACTCAATCACTGCATCACGAGCTTCTCCAGCCTCGTACTCTTCAATGTTGATTTCATCGACCGCTATCTCTTCATCATCGTTCTCATCGGTCGGTTTTCCTTCTTGATTGAGAAATTTGTCGACCTCATCTTGTTCTCTGAAGTCTCTTTTCTCATCATTGATGTCGCCCTTCTTCGAGGCTTGATCATCATCTCCTTCTTCTGGTTGAGTTTCTTGTTCTGGACTCTTCATGGTGACATCATCATCATCTGGCATCACCTCGTCGTCATCATCATCACCTGTCAAATCGATCTTCACCTCCTCCCATGCTTTCTTGACATGGTCTTTGAGATCTTCTTCTCGATGATGCGATTCGGCACTTGGTACTGTAGCCACGGTGATCTTGATTCGTTTCCTCCATCCATGACTCATCAAAAATCCTTTGCACATCACACAAATCGATAATGGCGCAGGGGTCTCCATCAGACATGCGGGGCATAGTCGATGGTCCTCTTTGCTAGGGTGATGAGTGACTGCCAATAATGAAATTGCATCATTCCAATCCGGATGGATGTCCAGGAAACAATCTATGAGTATGACTGAAGTGACCGGTCCTGATATCGACAAGTTTTCGAAGTTCGTCTAGATCGGGTGATGATTCTTCAGGCACAATGTTTCCAATGAGCTTGTCAAATCGTTCAATGGTGGCCACCCTCTTTGCACCTTGCACAGAAAGAACAAGTTGATCTCTTCCCTTCGTGATCATGAGACGGTAGTAGTCCTTTTCTCTCCAGTCGTAATACCAAACTGCATCGAATGATTCGAATGGAATTGTTTCTTGGACCAAAATGTGTCCGTCTGCTGACAATCGAGGGGAGAACTTGGCGATGGAATCGTACGTGATGTAGATGTAGACAAGATCAGTTTGATCAATCTTCCTGAATCTCAGCACCATCTGACTTCTCACATCCCACGGCGCGAATGGCACGAAGAACGTATTGATGCGGTCGCCTCCTCCTCC